ACGGCGATGTAGGGCAGCCCTACGAGGGTGCACATATACGCTTCACTGGCTCCTGTGTTCCCGGACGTTGAATCGTACACTGTGGTGTTGCTGTGCACCTTGACAAAAAACATGGAGAATATTTAAAAACAAAACCATGAATTTCCAAAATCAGAACAATATCGCCCGAAGTAAACAAAAGTGACCCAGAACACTCCTCCCACAGAAAAGGTGAATTTTTGCAACAAAAGAACTCAAAGCTCACTTTTCCCTCGATAATGGCCCACGCTAGCAGGGCCCAAGCGAATCGATGCTTCAGTGTCTGCGTTTTTGAGGCCGTCTCGTTTTTGAAGAATATGTCAACATTGGGAAAACCTTTAGGCTGAAATTGAAACCTATTTAATTGTACCAAATAAACAGTAAATTCTTAGTAGTGGCACCTCACCTGGAACTTCACCAATGGGGTGTGACCCATTCTCTCCCTCTCCTCCCATAATTTCTCTATGGCACTTGATCGCCAATGATCTTCTTCTGTAAATGCCAACAACATTTTCGAAATCGAACCGTAACGCTTTTTTATTTATTATTTGTATAAAAATTGTGACATCATTGCTATACATCAGTACATGAGTACTGAAGCATATTCTGCTCTCTACCGGTACTTGAAGCTTATGTCGATCTTTCATGATACTTTAGATGTAGTCCAGAACGGTTCTAAAACGATGGCGAAGCGTCAGCCACCGGTGGCTGACATTGTCGCGAGTGGGTTGAAGGGGTGAAATTAGCTTCAAAAATCCTCGAAGCATTGGGAGCAGATCCACTGCTAATACTATTATTACTCCACTTCACTATTAAAGCAACAGTTCCAAAAGAAATTCACGGACTAGAAACTGTCTATAATAGAGTAGTAGCTGAAAAGTGGACCGACAGTGAAGAAAAAACCAAAGAAAAACGCGAACAGGGCTTTAAACAGGACTCCCCTCTGCCCTTAGCGATGAGGAAGACGCGTGTTGGACGAGTTGTCTGAACTGCCCGCAGTAAATGCGCTCCAATTGCAATTGCTGGCTCATAGCCAGCAATAGTTGGCTATTGGAGTAATTGAGGCTTGCTCAAAGATTGGCTTCTCCGCGGGGAAAAATTGCGTCTGTATGTAAGAAAGTCAAAAAAAAACTGAAAAAATCCATCGATTGCTTTAAGGATCGCGCTGAATAGTATCATGCTCTCCACGACTGGCAAGTGGGCGGCGCTCGCAAAATCGGTAAGCCCCTCCCACTTCGAGGGCGTTAGACTCCCTTCCAACGACTTTCAAAGGTGAGTTTTCAAATCAGTGACATTTCCTATGTACTTGACTAGGGCTAGTGCATCTTTCCACCCTTAGAATCGAATTTTGAAACTCTACTGGGACTGTTGCCCCAAGAACAGAGAGTGGACCGGTTTCCAAGAACTTCCATAGAACCCGATTGCTCATTAATCTAATCCGCTGCGTGGCGTTATAGAGGAAGCTATACCGTCTCAACGATCCATTAGAGCTCTGCTATATTGTCATTCCAAACAAGAGGAGCTACTGATACGTTCTCGTTTATAAGTATAAGTTAACAGAGATCAAAAACTCTGCGTCTCATTTCTAGAGATGTCAGTTCTAAATATTGGTTCCTTATAGCTGCCTCTGGTATTCTGGAGTACATAAAACCACCAATTCGGATACAATTCGGATAAACAATTTTCGAGTGAAATTATTCTGAACTGTTTATAGCGGTTGAAAGGTGCGACCCGGCGGGGTTGTGAGGTTTACTTCGTGTGCGTGACAATCCTGGAAATTGAACACGTTTTAAACATTTAAGCCAATTCAGACGAATTGATACAGAAAGCTTAATACAACGGTTCCCAATGGATACTTGGGAGATAGGTTATCGCTTTGATGACGTATACAAGAAACTTTAGCCGACTCACTTGCTGAAGTCTTCTTTTCTAGCGGAAGTACATGTGGCCTGACCAGCGTTGGTACAGCGGCTTGTAGTACGCTAACTCCGGCAAGAAATAGTACCGCCGGGAGCAGCATTGTGCAATCACGTTGTATCGTTCAGTTTCTGGAAGAGGTAGCATTAATCACACTCGTTTACATAAGTTCGTACATCTATTTGCCTTTGATCTTGGTAGATTTTCGCAATTGTGTTAAACACAGGAACGACGGAGGAAAGACAAAAGCAAAAAAAAAAAAAACTCAGCGAAACTCAACAATGAGAAAGATCTTGAGCGCAAACACAACCGTATTGTTTTGATACACCGCTGATTCATCTATTTAAGTCATCGGTTCGCATTTACCCACTAAAGGCATATTCCACGATGAAAGATCTTGTAGTGGACTGTTCACAGTGGGAAAAATCGTTGACAGTGAAGAAAGAGTCCAAGAGAAAATGTTGCAAACGTTCCTGAATAAGGAAGTAAGACAAATT